TATATATATGTGTGTGTGTGTGTGAGTGTGTGTGAGTGTGTGTGTGAGTGTGTACGTGTGTGTGAATCTGTATAACTTGTGTGTGTTAAAATACACATGTATGTAGGTGGGCATAGTGAGTTTCGTTTGTACACGTGTTTGTCTGTGGCTGTATTCAATTCTCAAGGTGTTTAGAGGCATGGAATTGCACTACTGTCCATTTGTACTAGCATCTCTTTTCGTTGTTTTGTTCCATTCAGAATCAAGCTTCTTCTGAAGAACTGCCAAGATGACATATACTCTTTAAAGATTCGAACTGAACTGTACTTCGATTCACATTTATTCGCCAATGAAACCACAGCAATACAAACAAAGCAATTGTATATCTTCTCTGTCTCCTCAACACTCAATTAATTCGACCATCCCAATCCGCCAGTCTTGCCCCCATTCTTGGGATCGTATCGATGCTCCAGTGCGTGTTCAAACTGTCCCAACAACTGTTGCTGTATCAGCTGTCCCGTTGTATCATCAATAGCCGACGGTATGTGCAACCCTGTCGGTTTAACGGGTGCTGCCTTCTTCAGACCCCCGAATAGACCCTTCTTAGCCCCCCCTTTGTCCTTCTTCTTGCCTCCCAGTAGAGCTAAGAACTTGTCCTTCTGCTTATCGTTGCCGTTGAAGCTCGCTTTTGTCCAATCGTTCCATGCCGTTGGTGTGACTGTGCTAGTACTCGCCGCGGTCTCGGTCCTTGTGGCACTGCTACTAGAGCTCACTATATCATCGCTTGACCCCTCACCCGAGGTGCTACCACCACTATTACTGACTGTGGCTGCTTGGTTAGCATTCGTGGCGTCCGCGTCTTTGTCCTTCGACTTCTTATTCTTCTTCTTATCCTTCTTGTCTTTCTTACTTGCTTTGGGTTTCTGGTCTTTCTGACTTACTTTGGCTTTCTTACTCACTCTCTCACTTACTCCTTCCCCCGGACCATCGCTCCCAACAGACTTGTATCGTTTGCGTTTCACACCCTTATCCGCACTAACAGCACTATTTGTATCTGAGTTCTGCTTTATCTCCACTTTCTCCCTCTTTACTTTCTTGTCCTTCTTGCCTTTCTTCTCCTTTTTGGTCTTCTTGCTTGGTGCATCAACTACTTCATTCGTGCATTCAGCAGTGGCTTCCGGGGCATTCTTTAATTTCTTACTATCTTTCTTAGATTTCTTGGACTCTCTAACTGCGGACGTGTTCTCCTTCTTACTTTCTTTATCCTCGCACTTCGATGCCTTCTCCTTCTTCTCCTTCTTCTCCTTCTTCTCTTTCTTAGACTTCTTCTGATCGGACATTATGACACACTCACAACCAGTGTTTTACTGATTGTTCTTATTATACTCACAATGTATCCTATTGTAAACTTATATACTGATATATGTTATATACTGTTTAGTGTTATATACTGTTTAGTGTTATATACTGTTTAGTGTTATATACTGTTTAGTGTTATATACTGTTTAGTGTTATATACTGTTTAGTGCTATATACTGTTTAGTGCTATATATGTTTAGTGTATATACTCGGACTTGGTTTCGTTTCCCCGCCGTGTCTGATAGATTGCGCATACCCTACTACCCAATAGTCTAATACATATTGCGGTGACCTAGCCACAAAGCAATTTACGTTGGAACGTATTACAATATATACTTTTTCCGTTTACAATCAACATTCACTTTAGTTTGGTCCTATAAATTTAGACTGGGTGTATTATATAGGCCCTGAGGTGTAATATATAATTACTATACTGTTGTATAGTCCAGTTATTTGGAATATTGGGTTCACCCTTTTCTGCCCTACATCAGTATGCTATAACGTTTTTATCTATCAAAGCATTCAAAGGCTTAAAGCTTACGTAACGTAAATGCCGAACTACTATAACGTAATGAGGTTTTATATTTGCACGTGTACATATTTTATCATTTCTCATCGAACTTTATTTTTGGAACGAAATTTGATGACGCGACAAGAAAACGAATACTTTTCGGTTTTTATCACTTCGACTGTTTCACGCTGATCTGCGGAAAAAATATACGTTGAAAAAGTTGGGGTTCATTACGTTCAACTTTTATTTACATCAGTTGAATTGGCTATGTGCACTTGTGCAGGCTTCCAATATGCTTTAAAAATACTCATAGTATACGAGTATCTGTGTTTTTAATTAAAAAAATTTAACTTCTACATATACATACTATGCACGAATATAATATATATATTCGTCAAAGGAATAGCATACTCTTAGCTGTCGTTGTTGGATGTGGTTGAAGGTATGTTATCAAGAAGATCCGCATTCACTGTAAGGTCGATTTAAAGAGAGTACGGAACCAGATACACATCTGCACATACTACAAGCACAGCCACAGTCGCGTAGGGGCATGTTCAAATCTAAATCGACTACGTAACATTCATATATAGATTCATACATCCTATACCAGTCGAATACAGGTCGATACGTCGTAACACAGAATCATATCTGTTCATACACATACATATTTGAGTGATCTAAGTTACGTAAGATCCAGCATGAGTTCTAGCAGCCGAATAAACTTTGGGCAGGCCAGTCCCACCTACAGGGCTGGGTATATGATAGACGGCGACAGCGACAGTGACGATGAGAAAGTAGACCTCACAGATGTACCTGAAGATCTGTTGGATATGAATGAGGAAGACTTTGAGAACGAGTTACGGAAGAGGTTTGAGAGTGAGATGCATGATTTGCAAGAAGGATATAAAGCTGAGCCCATCCCAGTGGAGGCGTTCAGGGACATACCAGAGTATGTAAACAAAAAATACAAATCAGATGGAGGAGGTAAACCAGATTCAAAAGATGTAGATGACGAGCGAGGTATAGCCGGGGAACTGGATAGTGACGAGGAGGAGATGTTGCCGAAAGTGGTTGAGGTCACGGAGGCTACGATGGGTGTGGATGGTGATATGAGAGACAAGGGCAGTACAGCAAGTAAAAGCGCACGGGAGACGATAGCACAGACATCTGTGAACGAGGATACCAAGGCCACACAGGATGGGCTTAGAAGACCGCAGAAAGGAGATAACAGTATAGGAAAGTTAGGAGATGGAGATAGGAAGGACGATGCTATGGAATTGGATAGTAGCAGTAACAAGCGGGTCAGGTTTAACGAGGATATGGGTGAG